GGGGGGGGGGGGCGGCACTGCCATTCACGTGGCCTGCAGTGAACGTCGTGGGCCTCCCTGATGATCGCTATTGTGGAGACGATGTTTAGTCAGGGTGCGAGATGCATGAAAACCCAGAGACTTCATGAGAATTTGGACCTTTCTACAAAGCACATGCAAAAGTGGGCAGCCTCTGGCATTCACAAGAGATCTTCCCCTTTCCCCTCCCACCTTCTTTCCAGGTTATTTCCTTGTGTGGCCTGGATGGCAGCTAAGGAGGGAAGTTTAACCTCACAGGCAACCTTGGGTAAGTGGCCTCCCACTCAGGTCCAAGAGGAGCTGTCCAGGTGTTGCAGCAGCTGGAGGCCAACTCTAGGGGGCCACACCCATCCAGTCCTGGAGTGACATGATGGAGCTCCCCGGCCATGTACCCAAAGGTTTCCAACCACCGCTGAGCCCTTGACCAGATTCCAATGTCAGCGTCTAAAAGATGGATCGTGTCTCCATCATATTCCTTAAGTAGCAAATGTCTGTTCATCCAACAGAGAAGTTGGTTAGGTCTATTACCCACTGTTTCACACGACTTTGCCCTGTTCTTCTGAACAAATTTGTCTGTAACTTTCTTGAACGTTGGAGGTGGCGTCCTCTGAACCCAGTATGGAACATGGAATGGGGCTGACATGCAGTGAACATCTCTGCAATAAATGGTGTGAATAGGGCAGCATTCTGAAGGGTGGGCAGGGAAAAGGGGTGGTCCAGGCAAGGACACTGCCTTAGCTGGGAGGGGGACTGTGGGGGGACTGCCTCTGAAGCAGCACCGCTTCCAACCACCACAAACAGCCACAGTGAGTCAGATGTTTAGGGACCTTAGTATCTTAGACTCAAAACTGGTCAAATGGGGGATGCTAGTAAAGAAGCTGTTTTCTGAGTGATGAACTTGCGCATCCCAAACCCACAAATGTCTGCAAAGTGCATGCTAAGCTTGTGTGGTGGTGATACTGGACTGTGGGTGAATGCTAATCCCCCAGTCGGTTTAAAAAAGACAGGTTGTGGGACACCACGACCAGTGAGACAGGAAACTAGTGAACACTGAAGACGTTCATGCCTCCCTCAGCTATCGAATAGCCTTCTTTTAAGAAAAGAGCATGAAACATTGTTTATTTTAGGTTTTTCCTCCCTGAAATCAATAATAATACAGTCTCCATTCTTCTAGAGTGCCCACTCTGACAAGAAATTTTATCCTAAGTTTGTCAAAGAAAGGACTATGCCTTTAAAGTGCTAATGCCTGGTCTAAGAGGACTCTTATCTAAGACGTCTGTTAGAACACAGATTCTAAAAAAATGGATCTTACCTGAACCTAAGCTATCTAAACCAATCAGTTTAATTCAGTTCACCTATGAATTACTAACACAATGAGTTTTACTGTATACCTGTCTCCATGAAAGTATGTTTCTTAAAGTGTCAGTGTATTTGCCAGTAAGAAAGAGGACTGGATAAAGAAGGTGTAGGACATGTACACAGTGGAATACTACGCAGCCGTGAGAAAGGATGAAACACTGCCATTTGCAACAACATGGACGGACCTGGAGAATATTACACTAAGTGAAATGAGTCAGCCAGAAAAAGCTAAGAACCATATGATTTCACTCATCTGTGGGATATAAACGGAAACTTGTGGACACAAACAGCAGTGTGGTGGTTGCCAAAGGGAAGGAGGTGGAGGGAGTCCTAATATATGGTGACGGGAGAAGATTTGACTTTGGGTGGTGGGCACACAGTGCAATATACAGGTCTTGTAACACAGAAACCCGCACTTGAAACCTATATGTTCATATTAACCAATGTCACCCCAACAGATTTAATAAAAATAATAAAATAAAAAATAATTAAAAAGCCTATGCTTCTAAAAGTTATGAAATATGTTTGCCAATCTAGAAAATGCTAATTGCTCACTTTTAGCTTTTTTTCTCCCTACCTGTTCCCTCCAGAATTTGGGAATTCTTAAAAAGTGAGTCATGACAATACATTTCTTTGCATAAATCCAATAAGATCAATTCCAAACTATGTGGTCTTATTAGCCAAGACTCTGACTGGAATGCCATGTCTAAAAGAGACACGCATGGATTCTGGATGTCACTAGAAGCCATAAGGAATTGAGACAGAATCTCAAAGCCAATCAAAAGCCACTTGCAGAAGTGACCTAATACCATGCTTGGTCACATAGTTCATAACAATTTTTCCAGAAAAGGAACAAAGGTTGCTTTTCTGAAAAATGACAAGAAAGAAACCTCAAGACATCTTTGGGGACCTCAAGAACTTGATGACTTGACCAAACCTATAGATACTACAGGCAAAGCCTAATGGCAACTATGGCTTGGCTTCTCTGCCCTGAAGGGCTGACTGCTCACTAAAGGTCAATCTAAAGATTGCTTGTGAAAATGCTGACAAAAAAAATTTGAAAAAGCCTGTGTAATTGATTTAATCAATTCCTATTCGTATTGTGTTTATTCATATAATCAGGCCAAACTAAAACTGGACTTAATGCTGACTCTTTGAAAATGAGAATAATCTTAGAGAGAAAAGTTATATTTCAATAAAAATCACCTTGTCCACTTGAAGATTGGACTCAATACAGTTAACTGTCTTCAAAGTTTTGTTTTGAAGGCTGTGTCTGTGTATGCCATCCAAAACTCAACACCTGATGACATCACCAGAAATGTTCTAACTGCAGACAATCTACCAGATTGTCACTGTGTGCCTTCGTTCCAGCAAAAGGCTTACTTTGTAAAATCTTCTCAACTGGTTTATAACTTAATGTATGCATTAACCTTTGTGTTTTGTTTTCTTCTGTTTTCACAGAATGTATACCTATGTCCTTCTTTGCCTGATTGTTTGTACACACAACATAAGCCTCACTACAGAAGCCAACTACATCACCATGTCCTAAAAATAAGACTCAGTGACTTAGACTTATGGCTGAGTCAATGAAATATGAACAGTCTATCAGCTTTGCTTGAAATTACTTTCCCTTTTCTGCCCAAAGAGTTCAGACAGAAAAAGTACACAGTTTCTCATGGGGAGAATCTTAGGATAGTTCCCTTAGCTTAATCTGAGCTAAGAATGGTGGACAAAAGAGCTTCAGACAGGTGAGACACACCTGCCTCCAGGGAAGCCGCTCCTCCAACCTAATCCGAAATACTGTAAGTTAGTCCTTCCCTTTATCACATGGGTTTTTACCTCTCACCAGACTTTAGTTACTGTAAGTCTCACTTTTGAATAGTGACTTTTAACCTTCTCATCAAGTTTGTCATTTCCAGAATACAACAAGGATGCCAGCTTGTCCAATGTGCCGTCCTCTTGGATATCACCTCCCAGTGACATCAGACTGACCTGGACTTTGCAGAATCCCTACGTAAAGACTCCCCTTCCCTTCTCCTGCCCCCTTGCTGTCAGACAGGCAGAACATCAGAGTCTTGGGATAGGCAGGTCTACCCACCTTGACAACAGGAAACAGTTACAAGAAGATAGAGACTTTCACCCATTTCTCCTATGTAAGAATACAAAGAGGTTCCTTTTCTCTCAGGAAGGAATGATGTCACTATAATTAACGTAGTTATTAATAACAGGAAAGAAGCAAAGGGAAGGCCAGGCATCATAGGCATGTCCCCGTAAAACACTGGGGAAGGGGACTGGACAAAGGAAAGATAGAAACATGCCCAGGAAAGTTGGGGTGACTAGGAAAGGTGCTTGCTGTCAATCACACCTGGGGACAGAGATGACTGGCCAGAATGGGTGTGCCCACTGCAAGCACACAGAAATCTGGGATATTTAATCCGCTGAACAAACAAATTTGTGCTCTTGTGCTCTCCTGTGCTTTCAGGACCCTTGGGATTCTTGTTGCTTGGGACATGCTCTCCTGCATTCTCCCGTGTGGCCCAAGGCCATGCAGNGGCTGAACAAACGAATTTGTGCTCTTGTGCTCTCCTGTGCTTTCAGGACCCTTGGGATTCTTGTTGCTTGGGACATGCTCTCCTGCATTCTCCCGTGTGGCCCAAGGCCATGCAGGCCCCACACACGA